CAGTGATGTGATAGAGTGACTGCAGTATACAGTGACTGTGATAGAGTGACTGCAGTAGACAGTGACTGTGATAGAGTGACTGCAGTAGACAGTGACTGTGATAGATAGAGTGACTGCAGTAGACAGTGATGTGATTGAGTGACTGCAGTAGACAGTGATGTGATAGAGTGACTGCAGTAGACAGTGATGTGATAGAGAGTGACTGCAGTAGACAGTGATGTGATAGAGTGACTACAGTAGACAGTGATGTGATAGAGTGACTGCAGTAGACAGTGACTGTGATAGAGTGACTACAGTAGAGAGTGATGTGATAGAGTGACTGCAGTAGACAGTGATGTGATAGAGTGACTGCAGTAGACAGTGACTGTGATAGAGTGACTGCAGTAGACAGTGACTGTGATAGAGTGACTGCAGTAGACAGTGACTGTGATAGATAGAGTGACTGCAGTAGACAGTGATGTGATAGAGTGACTGCAGTAGACAGTGATGTGATAGAGTGACTGCAGTAGACAGTGATGTGATAGAGAGTGACTGCAGTAGACAGTGATGTGATAGAGTGACACAGTAGACAGTGATGTGATAGAGTGACTGCAGTAGACAGTGACTGTGATAGAGTGACTACAGTAGACAGTGATGTGATAGAGTTACTGTAGTAGACAGTGATGTGATAGAGTGACTGCAGTAGACAGTGACTGTGATAGAGTGACTGCAGTAGACAGTGACTGTGATAGAGTGACTGTAGTAGACTGTGATGTGATAGAGTGACTGCAGTAGACAGTGATGTGATAGAGTGACTGCAGTAGACAGTGATGTGATAGAGTGACTGCAGTAGACAGTGATGTGATAGAGTGACTACAGTAGACAGTGATGTGATAGAGTGACTACAGTAGACAGTGATGTGATAGAGTGACTACAGTAGACAGTGATGTGATAGAGTGACTGCAGTAGACAGTGATGTGATAGAGTGACTGCAGTAGACAGTGATGTGATAGAGTGACTGCAATAGACAGTGATGTGATAGAGTGACCACAGTAGACAGTGATGTGATAGAGTGACTGCAGTAGACAGTGATGTGATAGAGTGACTGCAGTAGGCAGTGACTGTGATAGAGTGACTACAGTAGACAGTGACTGTGATAGTGACTGCAGTAGACAGTGATGTGATAGAGTGACTGCAGTAGACAGTAACTGTGATAGAGTGACTGCAGTAGACAGTGATGTGATAGAGTGACTGCAGTAGGCAGTGACTGTGATAGAGTGACTGCAGTAGGCAGTGACTGTGATAGAGTGACTACAGTAGACAGTGATGTGATAGATAGAGTGACTGCAGTAGACAGTGATGTGATAGAGTGACTGCAGTAGACAGTGATGTGATAGAGTGACTGCAGTAGACAGTGATGTGATAGAGTGACTGCAGTAGACAGTGATGTGATAGAGTGACTGCAGTAGACAGTGATGTGATAGAGTGACTGCAGTAGACAGTGATGTGATAGAGTGACTACAGTAGACAGTGATGTGATAGATAGAGTGACTGCAGTAGACAGTGACTGTGATAGAGTGACTGCAGTAGACAGTGACTGTGATAGTGACTGCAGTAGACAGTGATGTGATAGAGTGACTACAGTAGACAGTGATGTGATAGAGTGACTGCAGTAGACAGTGATGTGGTAGAGTGACTGCAGTAGACAGTGATGTGAATGAGTGACTGCAGTAGACAGTGATGTGATAGAGTGACTGCAGTAGGCAGTGACTGTGATAGAGTGACTGCAGTAGACAGTGACTGTGATAGAGTGACTGCAGTAGACAGTGACTGTGATAGAGTGACTGCAGTAGACAGTGATGTGATAGAGTGACTGAAGTAGACAGTGACTGTGATAGAGTGACTGCAGTAGACAGTGACTGTGATAGAGTGACTACAGTAGACAGTGATGTGATAGAGTGACTACGGTAGACAGTGATGTGATAGAGTGACTGCAGTAGACAGTGACTGTGATAGAGTGACTGCAGTAGGCAGTGATGTGATAGAGTGTAGTAGGCAGTGATGTGATAGAGTGACTGTAGTAGACAGTGATGTGATAGAGTGACTGCAGTAGACAGTGATGTGATAGAGTGACTACAGTAGACAGTGATGTGATAGAGTGACTGCAGTAGACAGTGATGTGATAGAGTGACTGCAGTAGACAGTGATGTGATAGAGAGTGACTGCAGTAGACAGTGATGTGATAGAGTGACACAGTAGACAGTGATGTGATAGAGTGACTGCAGTAGACAGTGACTGTGATAGAGTGACTACAGTAGACAGTGATGTGATAGAGTTACTGTAGTAGACAGTGATGTGATAGAGTGACTGCAGTAGACAGTGACTGTGATAGAGTGACTACAGTAGACAGTGATGTGATAGAGTGACTGCAGTAGACAGTGACTGTGATAGAGTGACTGCAGTAGACAGTGACTGTGATAGAGTGACTGCAGTAGACAGTGACTGTGATAGAGTGACTGCAGTAGACAGTAACTGTGATAGAGTGACTGCAGTAGACAGTGACTGTGATAGAGTGACTGCAGTAGACAGTGTTGTGATAGAGTGACTACAGTAGACAGTGATGTGATAGAGTGACTGTAGTAGACAGTGATGTGATAGAGTGACTGCAGTAGGCAGTGACTGTGATAGAGTGACTGCAGTAGACAGTGATGTGATAGAGTGACTGCAGTAGACAGTGATGTGATAGAGTGACTGCAGTAGACAGTGATGTGATAGAGTGACTGCAGTAGACAGTGATGTGATAGAGTGACTGCAGTAGACAGTGATGTGATAGAGTGACTGCAGTAGACAGTGATGTGATAGAGAGTGACTGCAGTAGACAGTGATGTGATAGTGACTGCAGTAGACAGTAACTGTGATAGAGTGACTGCAGTAGGCAGTGACTGTGATAGAGTGACTGCAGTAGACAGTGATGTGATAGAGTGACTACAGTAGACAGTGATGTGATAGAGTGACTGCAGTAGACAGGACTGTGATAGAGTGACTGCAGTAGACAGTGATGTGATAGAGTGACTGCAGTAGGCAGTGATGTGATAGAGTGACTGCAGTAGACAGTGATGTGATAGAGTGACTACAGTAGACAGTGATGTGATAGAGTGACTGCAGTAGACAGTGATGTGATAGAGTGACTGCAGTAGACAGTGATGTGATAGAGTGACTGAAGTAGACAGTGACTGTGATAGAGTGACTGCAGTAGACAGTGACTGTGATAGAGTGACTGCAGTAGACAGTGACTGTGATAGAGTGACTGCAGTAGACAGTGATGTGATAGAGTGACTGCAGTAGACAGTGATGTGATAGAGTGACTGCAGTAGGCAGTGACTGTGATAGAGTGACTGCAGTAGACAGTGATGTGATAGAGTGACTGCAGTAGACAGTGATGTGGTAGAGTGACTGCAGTAGACAGTGACTGTGATAGAGTGACTGCAGTAGACAGTGATGTGATAGAGTGACTGCAGTAGACAGTGATGTGATAGAGTGACTGCAGTAGACAGTGATGTGATAGAGTGACTGCAGTAGACAGTGATGTGATAGAGTGACTGCAGTAGACAGTGATGTGATAGTGACTGCAGGAGACAGTGACTGTGATAGAGTGACTGCAGTAGACAGTGACTGTGATAGAGTGACTGCAGTAGACAGTGATGTGATAGAGTGACTGCAGTAGACAGTGATGTGATAGAGTGACTGCAGTAGACAGTGATGTGATAGAGTGACTGCAGTAGACAGTGATGTGGTAGAGTGACTGCAGTAGACAGTGATGTGATAGAGTGACTACAGTAGACAGTGATGTGATAGAGTGACTGCAGTAGGCAGTGACTGTGATAGAGTGACTGAAGTAGACAGTGACTGTGATAGAGTGACTGAAGTAGACAGTGATGTGATAGAGTGACTGCAGTAGACAGTGACTGTGATAGAGTGACTGCAGTAGACAGTGATGTGATACAGTGACTACAGTTGACAGTGATGTGATAGAGTGACTGCAGTAGACAGTGATGTGATAGAGTGACTGCAGTAGACAGTGATGTGATAGAGTGACTGCAGTAGACAGTGATGTGATAGAGTGACTGCAGTAGACAGTGATGTGATAGAGTGACTGCAGTAGGCAGTGACTGTGATAGAGTGACTACCGTAGACAGTGGCTCTGGGTGACACACCAGCACTGCATATTTCAAACAGCCTTCCAAAAAAAATATGTCACAAATGCATAGTAAACTTTGAAAAGACAGAAATTTGAGCAGTTTACAAATGTATATATGCATCAAAACTCTGCAATGTATTCCACCTATATACATAGCCAAACCAAATTAGTGTGATGACCCCAAATGTTATGATTATAAGTAGAAAAACATTAAATGTCCATGAAACTTTCCCTTTTTCAGAAAAGGAACAAAAAAATCTTAAAGACAATTTAAGGAAAATATAAATAAATATTATTTAAAGTATCTATGTGCTTGCGATTCTAAAAATAAAAATGATTGATGTAACTTTAAGATAAAATCCTATGATGAAGTGAGATAATTTTAATTCTAAATCACATGATTATTAAAATTATATTTCATTAAGATTTCTTTCTTACATTATTTGAATCTTTTAATTCTTACAATCAAGAGAGAACTTCCTGTCATTTGTCCTTGTATATTTTACCCTAAAACATATGATTATGTAAGTGTTACTACGTCCTCATATTTGAATAATATTTTTATTTTTGTAAAGCAAAGACCACTTCATAATCCTGTTGTTGTTAAATAATAGTATTTCTTTAAAAGCACACAAGTTCAAAATTTGACTTATAATTCCAAAAGTGTTCAGAGGCAGGCTGTCAACTTTGATTTCACCCTTTTGTCCTGTGTTGCTTCGTAAAATTCCAGTCATACTGATGGGACTCAGCCCCTAGTGAGAGATGATAGAAAGGTGAGAACCCCTGGTCTGCACCTCTTTTCCCTTAACTGTTTCCTCCCCAGATATTGACCAGTGGAACAAAGTCATCGAGCAGCTAGGAACTCCGTGTCCAGAATTCATGAAGAAATTGCAGCCTACAGTCAGAAACTATGTGGAGAACCGGCCCAAGTATGCTGGACTTACCTTCCCCAAGCTGTTTCCAGATTCCCTTTTCCCAGCGGACTCTGAGCACAATAAACTCAAAGGTGAGCACTGGGCACAGCCTGACAGGCTCTGTGTTGTCGGCCACTGTGGTTGTGGTGTGTGCTATGAAAAGGCACCTGTGAGGTCTTCTCTTGACTGGCACTGATTCAAGAAGAGGTGTTCCTGGCAATAGCCTTTCTTGGCTAACTGTTTTATCAGGGTTATTTAGAATCTTGAAACCACTGTTTGAAATGTAAGTTTAAAAGTTCAGTGTACTGTACTTTGAAAACATATCTTCAATACTTGTTTAGTTCATAGAAAATATTTTTAACACAGACTTTCATTTGTAAAGTTTTATAGGCATAGGTGCTTTAGTTCATTATATTTTATGGAGTATCTTACCACCATTTCTCAATTATAGGGTTCTAAATTAGGTGTTACCTACACATTTTTTTTCTGTTCAACTCTGGTCCCTTCTGCCTAGATCAAGACTCAGTTTAATTGACTTAATACTTTGTTAAGAATTTTCAACAGCATCTGGTTAATAACTGTTAAACATAATAAAAAGTTGTTTTAAAATATTTATCATCAAAAAAGCAAGGTAGGTTCATGCTTGTGGGGGTGTACCCCAAGTGTGCAGCACAGTCATTTATTTATAGGCTTAATTTAAATAACTAAGATAAACATCAATGAGGCAGAGAAATTAAAATGCAGTGCTTTGTTGTTTGGGATCTAGTCATCACCTCCAAATTTATTCATAAGAGATTTAAGACAGTCCACATCATAGTGCTACATAGTCTCTGAGTGACATTCCCAAAGCTGTGAACACTTCCTAGACAGAGAGCGAAATGCCTAAAAGATATCTTAGCATGAATGCCTTTTTAATGTTAATCATGATAGTAAGTGTCTTAGTCACTGTTCTAGTGCTGTGAAGAGACACTATGACCATGACAACTCCTATAAAAGAAAGCATTTAATTGGGGCTAGCTAATAGTTTTAGAGGTTCATGGAAGAGAGCATGGCAGCATGTAGACAGACATGGTGCTGGAGGAATAGGTGAGAGTTCTACATCTTGATCCACAGACAGCAGGAAGAGAAAAGGCTATGGGGTTTGTCTTGGCCTTTTCAAACATTCAAAGTGCACTCCGACTTCCTCCAGCAAAACCACACCTCCTAATCCTTCTCAAGTAGTGCCACTTCCTGATGACCAAGCATTCAAATATTTGGGCCCATAGGGAACATTCTTATTCAAACCACCACAGTAGACAAAAATAATCCTGTGAAGACATTGATAGTGTAACCATGTGGAGACAGTAAAACCCTTACTGAGCTATCTAATGGTAGTGGAAATGGCAAACTGTTGGAAGACATTGCTGGTTGGTAGAGGTCACAGTCTACCACATCCTGGCAGCTTTCTCTAAGCTGGACAATATGGAAACTCCCTTCCTCCTTCTCCAGCAAAGCTTCCTGCTTTCTAGCTGCCTTCATCTAGAGGATGTCTCTAGGTCCAGGATGCCTGACTTATCTCAAGGGTGACCCTTGACAGTTACCTGTAAACACTCTTCCCCTGATGTCCTACATGGTAATTAGGAAAGTGTTCTAGCCATTTTGATAGGATCCTACTGCCATGTACAAAGCCTTGTGATTGAAGCCTGCCACTTAATGCAAATTAAGGTTTGTCCTCTGGTTCCCCAATCCTACATATTCCTTATACTCTGGAATAAAGTTGAGCTGATTCTCCGAAATCTGTCTCTGGAGGGCTGTCTCCGTTTGTCCTCATGGGCCAAGTACAGAGCTCTCTGTCACCATTACTGCCTCTTGCCCTCTCAACTTGGTGGCCTGCAGGCCAAGAGGGAAAGAGAACCCCTCCACAGCAAACTGTTAACAGCATGTTTTGTGATGTAAATCCAACTTTCTAGAGTTTAGTTATTTTTTGTAAATTATTAGCTATTTAATATAGTTGTGATTCCAGTACAAGACTGGCACACCAACGAAGTATCACAATATGCAAATGATGAACAGAAAATTTGTTCAGACTCTGGGAAAGCAGCATCTTTGAAAGTTGAAGGCCATGGCACTGAAAACATTTCTCTGTTTACTACATATGGTACTGACAATGGCTTCTAGTAGATGATCTGGTGTTGGCAAAGGTCATTCCCTTCTCGACAAGGAGCCATCCTATCCCATGCCCTTTCTAAGAACAGAAATACAGATGGTCTTGAGAGCAGACTCTGGATGCAGGGTACATGAATCTGAGGAAGAAATCAGCTACAGAGCAAAAGGATCTTTTAACAAAGGAAATAAACAGCTTTGTTAGGCTGTTAGAACATTGGTCATAAAATCATCTTAAAATTTGTATTAGTATTTAAGTCTTTGTGCACTTTCAGTATTCTTGTGAGCTTCAAAGTTGTGTTTGTAAAGATTGCTATCAATTAAGAATATTGTATTTATCAGAAAAAATTGCCATAGACATAAAATATCCTTTAATGAATGAACTTCCATATTAACATAAAACATTATAAAACACAAGAAAATAGTCACAGATACATAGGTGAGAATAGTTTCCTACTTCTTAGCTGTTGTATTGGCAAAATTACGTGAAAATGAATGTCAGACCGTTGAATCATATCCAAAAGTGGGCAGTGGGAGAAAAAAAGCCACCAGCAATCACAGTGATAGCCTGTGAGAGTGAGTGACATTGCCTAACTTTTGTTTATGTTATTGCTAAATTCTTAGCCCAGTACTTTAATATGAACATTTAATAACCATTAATGTTGTCCATATTCAAAAAAACACTTGAATGAAAAAATCTTCTTTTAAACATTTTACATGTAAATATTTTATTGTACTACCAATGAACTCGTGAATCTTTTGCGATATGTATCTGGTGTTTTTGAAAGGAGAACAAAAACACTGAAGCTCTAAATTTGTGAATATAGAAAAAGGCCCCTGATTCCTACATTATCCTCTGTATTAGCATATGTAGTTTCAATTTTTGATGTCAGTTACTCTTAGGCACTCTTATTAATTAGAAATATTTAAAATTGCTAAGCCAATTGAGGTTTTTACTCTCTTGAATTGGAAGTTTTGCTATATATTTGGAACATATTGAGTAATTTTACTATTAAAACTTTGAGACCATTTGAGTAATCATAGTGGTTTAAGATATCATTAAGGTAGTATTAAGATGTTACTGAGTCTTATTAAGAAACCACTTCATGTAAAAATTCCACATGCTTTAGAGACTAAAAATCAACGTGGCTTCAGGGTTGGTTCTTCAGCTCAGGTGATGAAGGGCTTGTCTGCAAGCACATGGACCTGAGTTTGATTCCCAGAACCCATGTAATACAAAATGAGGCATGTGCATGTACTTGTCACCCCAGTGAAAATGGCAATGAGGAGGTAGGGGCAGTCAGTCAGACTGGCCTAACAGAGAGTTCCAGGCTTGTCTCCAAAGAAAGAAATGCAAGAGGTTCATAGTACTTAAAGAGCAGCACCCAAGGTTGTGCCTTGACTTTCACACATGTGCACCATCACACACTGATGAGACTGCACACACAGGGACACGGCTGAACACAAAAATCAGTGTGCCTCCAATAAACAGTGCTGTTGAACAAATATGCTGGCTGATGGCCACCATGTTTCTCACCCTGCCCCAGCCATGCGAATCACCGCGCCACCTTGTACATAATATGGAGATTTCCATTACCATTGGTCATGGCGTGGGACTTCCTTTAGCCACTAGCCACCTGATTCCACCAAATCGTGATTCCACCCATTTAAGTGCCTGGTGAACACAGAACGCTACAACAACACTCAGTAGTTCAGTGAGGTCATTTTCTTCACATTCACTCTTCAGGTTGTTTTTAGTGGATCTAAGAAATCGGCACAACCTTGGTTCTCAAGTCAGTTTGAACTCTGCTGACTCTGCTGATCCCACTTGGTGTCAGAGAACATGAAAGCACCATGACTCACTCCCTGCATCCACCCCTGTATCCCAACTGTGCATTTCTGCAGATGCACTATGCACTTTGCATTTCCCATGCCCCTTATCCCAGCCCCCTCTCATCCTTAGAGATTACCCACGAAAGTTTCTTTACTTAATCAAACTTCATAGCCAATAAATTCTATTTATAATTCTGAGTGAATAATTATATTCGATTATTCACACTATATAACCCTCAAAGAGCTCTCAAAATGATACCTTAGGATTTAAGACAAAAGAAAAAAAAAGTTAGGAGCTGCATTTCCTTTATAGCCACAAGGAGTATCCTGGTGACTAGAAGGATGCTGCTTTGCTTCTTTAGTTCCCCAGATGATAAACACCCTTGCCAAAATGAAAATCTTAGGAATTGCTGTTCTTATTTATCATTTCAGCCAGCCAAGCCAGGGATTTATTGTCAAAGATGTTAGTGATCGACCCGGCTAAGAGGATATCGGTGGATGACGCCTTACAGCATCCCTACATCAACGTTTGGTATGACCCAGCTGAGGTGGAGGCGGTAAGAACTCAGCATAAACCACCCACAGCGAGTGGAGAAAACAGAGTAAAGCTCACACCAAATGAGCACAAGCAGGCTTTCTATAACTCCCACCTCAAAGACCATTACCTGATCCCCTGACGGTTATTTTCTTCAATATGTATTTTAAGTTCATTTCTTTCTGAGTCTTCCTGTGAACCTGGATGAGTTCAAATATCTTTTTTTTTTTTTTTTTAAATTCACACTTAGGTCTTCTGCAGTGTGTTTAACTGTCAGTTTCTCTGGATGCAAACAGGAAGAACACATATTGGTGGGGAGGCTACCTCCGGACTCTTCTTTGTGCTTTTTGTCTGCCAGTCCCGTCTAACCTCTAACTGTCCAGCTTCTTTATTGAACCAATCACAGCAACATATTTTCACACAATGTAAAGGAATATTCCACACTACTTGCTCCTTATTTCTTTCTGTGTGTGAGAAGCAAATATTTAGTGTTCAAAAATTTCCAGGAAACCCTAGCCCTGACTCTTCCAGCAGCAAAAAATGAGATTTATCATCTTGTGTGATATTTTCCTAAATTTTGTTCTCCTGAGCAGCTTTACCATGATGTTGGTGTCTCAATTTGTTTCAGATTTATTTTAGTAACTTGGTTTGATTCTTACAAAATACAATCCTTCCAATGAAATATCTTTGAGTTTCTAATGTTCTTAAAACTAGTCTACATCCTTAAGACTCAAATGTAGACTCTCTCCCAGTCTTTTATACTTCATAAAAACTTTTAAAGATATTAATAGAGTAGAAGGAAGTAAAGAAAAAAAGAAATGAATACATAAATAAATATATTAAAATTAGATAATATGGATTTTTTCTGATGAAATATAAGAAAATGCTTCAGGTATCTGTGTAAAATTATTAACTAAAAATAAATTATTTGAAATTTCTAATCATTTATTTTGAAAGTTGTAAACCTGTGGCATGTTTATTTTCCCTTACAACTGATTTCATGTGTTTAATCTGTTTTTAATGGAACGTGGCCTCTAGTTTAATTAGAGTCATAAAGTCTGCATTTGTAATTCACTTGTAATTATGTTGCCTATAAAAAAGACAGTTACTTAGACTCTACAGCAGAACATTAGAATAATATCAATGAATTTTTAAGTTTATTTCAACATTTCATCCTTTGTCGGATAAAAAAAATATACCTAGATCTTTTCTCAATATAGTCATCATAGGGCATAGATAGTAACGAGATGAGACGTACAGATTTTAAGGATTCAGTATAGCCTGAGGATTCAGTAAAGGAACCAGCTGAGACAGAGAAGAGCAGGCAAGTGTTTGACATCCAAACCGAGGTCACTGGCTGCAGAACTGTAAAACTGTCTCCCATCTACAAATGTTGCAGTGAATGCTGACCCCAGGGCAAGAGTAGTTTATTACTCTCCAAAGTGTATTGCAGAGGTCACAATCAGTAAGAAACAAATCCTATGAGTCCTGGAAGAACACCAGCCATGCTGTCTGCATCGCACGTAAGACTATTATTACAGTAAGATGGGAGCATGCATTTAAAATAAAGTGACAATTCTTTACAGATGTGCATCAACAAAGTGACATGTCTTATGCTAGAGATGCAAGACTGTTTGCAAGATAAACGCAGATGTCTCTTTATAACCCAAATGAATAGAAATATCAAATAGAATTTCCATGGATAGGAATTGTGAAGGAGTGCCAAGCTCAAATGGCTTCCAAGTGGCACACATGGCTTTAGGGAAAGAAAGAAATTCAAAGGTGAGCAGAAGGGAAATATGATTCACTTTGGGGACATACAGGCAAGGCAAATTCAACACAAGATGAAAGACAGTGGGAGGGAAAGGAGTCATCCCTGGGAAGCAGAGAAAAGAAAACAGCAAAACCTGCATGAAAGTAATGAGGAATGGTTGGAGGACACAAGGGTTCTGAAAAAACAGAAAGGAACAGAACAACATTAAATGCACTAGTCCACTAGTCAGGATACACGCTATCTCACATTTCCGATCATTTCCCAATGCAAAGATCAAAAAGGAAAACAATAATAGTATTTTGTCATCGAGTAAATACTAAACATATTCATATGAGGTTGTCAGTTATACATTTTTCATGCCCAGCTCAATCACACACCTGTCTAGAACAGCAGCACAGTTTGAAGTGACAGCTGTGTGGGTTACTACTTCTCAAATAATGTTCAGAGCAACAGACAAAAGCTCATTTCCAACACAGAGCTGAAAGACCATACTTACATCAGTGTGTGGCTGGTGTTCGGTGTCTTTTGAAGATTTATTTTTATATTATGTGTAGAGCATTGTGCCTGCATGTTAGTCTGTGGCTCGTGTGTGTGCAGTGCCCCTGGAAGTCAGAAGGGGGTACTGTACCACCTGGAACTAGAGATGTTTTTTGAGCCATCATATGGGTGCTAGGTACTGTACCCTGGTGCTCTGCAAGAGCAACAAATGTTGTTACCCTCTGAGTCATTTCTCCAGCCTTTTTTGGTTTGTTTGGGTTTTTTGGTTTTGTTGGTTTTTTTTGACGGTGTTTTAAATCTCTTCTGTCTCCGTTATGAGACAAAGACACACAAATTACATATTGATGCACAAAGTGCATGTTTTTCCATTACCCTCCTGATCTGTGATCTGGGAAATACTTCAGGCTGACATTCCTGCATTGCCCCTTGCTAGTGGCCTCAGTTTTCCTTTGTCCTTAGCTCAGTCTTCTTTGTTAGTGAAGTTTCCTGCAGTGTCTGCCTCTGTGAGAGGGCTCTGAGAACCGTAAAGTGCTCCTACAGAAAAGATCTCTGTTGCTGCACTGGTTGCCGTCACTATTTCTGTGATAACATTTGTATACAATACTTTGCTGTCATTTGGTATTAGGAACAGATATCGAGTATAAAAGACCTGCTGGGCAAGAAATTGCAGAAATATTCTTCAGTTTGGGGATGATTATAAAAAGTGGTGGAGTTTAAAGACACACTTGACGTGTGGGTCCTTTTGTTGTTTCTGTTGATATATGCCCACACTTACATCACCTAGTGTAAGAGCCAAGGTCTATTGTTTTAAACTAACAGAAAGCAAATTACATAGTCTATATATGTCCATCATAACTCTAAGAAATTCAGGGCTGTTGCAGACTCTTTGGGCAATGTCACATGCCCTTGTATCTTGTTGGAGGGACATCACCTGATTCTTGAGCTTATCTACCCTGTTGGGCAGAGTGGAAGCTTTTATGTTGCATCCCTGTGCATAGAACCTTTGAGCACCTGGATCATCTCTAAGCTGGGGAAAAGCTGGTGAACTAGTCTCAGAACACTCAAGAAGCTGATCCGGGTGCTTTTTAAAGGTGGGGGAGTAAAGATAAACATCAGGAGTAGAAGAAATATGTTCTGTCACTATTGACATCAGAACTCAAGGTCACTGTCATAGTGAGGCCAGTTAACCTGTATGGGATCAGAAGACATTTCTTGATTCCTGATTCTCAAGTGTTGAAGCACTGGGGTTGCCTTGTGTTGGTCAGGCTTTAAGCCAGCAGTGATGAGTCACTGTGCTGAGGGTACTGCTGTCTCCAAAAGCCCCTGGGATAGTCATGATGGCTACAGTGTTACACTGGGAATCTGGGCATAAGGATAGGTTGAGCCAGATAGGTATCTTGGAATTGTGTTCTCCAGTTTATGATCCCAAGGTACTTGAGAACCCAGAAGAGTGGCACAGGCCAGACAGGAACTTATGTGTGGCAGCATCTTGGGACTTCCAAAGATAAGGTGAAAAGGCATAAGGAGATGGAGCTATAGCTACAATGTAGATTAATGTGGAAACTAGGCCTTTTCATGGCATCCTTGGGAAGACTCAGGGGGAAGGAAAACTGTTGGGGGAATATAGTCAAAACTGAGTGTCTTCACTGGGGTTTTTATTGCTGTAAAGAGACACCATGACCACACAACTCTTATAAAGAAATCATTTAGTTGGGGTGGCTCACTTAGAGATTCAGAGGTTCAGTCCATTATCGTTATGATGGGGAACATGTCAGCCTGCAGTCAGACATGGTGCTGGAGTAGCTGAGAGTCCTACATTTTGCAGGCAACAGGAAATTAATGGACTGTTACACTGAGGGGAGCTTGAGGAAAAGACACCTCAAAGCCCACCCCCACAGTGGCACACTTTTTCCAACAAGGCCATACTTCCTAATAGTGCCACTCCCTTTTGGGGGCATTTTCTTTCAAACTACCACATTCTACTCTATGGCCCCCAAAGACTTACAGTTATATCATAATACAAAAAATTCATTCAGTTCAACTTTAAAAGTCCCCATAGTCTATAACAGTCATAACCTTGTTTCAAATTCCAAAGTTTTCTTCTGAGATGCATGGCAATCTCTTAACTGTGAAAATCAAAATTAAAAAGCAGATCACATAGTTCCAACATATAATGGCACAGGATATACGTTATCATTCCAAGATGCAGGGAAGGGTCATAACAAGGAAATACTGGACCAAAGCAAGACCAAAAGCCAACTAGGAAAACTCTAAATTTTGCATCTCCATGTCTGATGTCAAAATGCTCTTCAGATCTCCAACTCTGTTCAGCTTTGTTGACTGCAACACACTTCTTTCTCTTGGACTGGTTCCATTCCCTGCTAGCAGCTCTCCTTGGCAGGTATCCCACGACTCTGACATCTCTAACTTCTTGGGCTCCCCAATGCAACTCAGGCTTCAAATTCACAGCTTCACACAATGGCCTCTCTAGGCCTCTATTCAGGGATATCTCTGACACATGCCTGGCCTCAGCAACTTTATTCCATAACTCTCTTCTTCTATCTTTAACTCTAAACCCAGAATCCTGTGGCAGAAGCTGCCAAGTTCTGCTGATTGCTGGGGCTTGGGACATGGCCCCTCTCATTCAATTACAATTCACCAGCTTTATGTCTTTTACTACCTAAGCTTGACTGTCTTGAAACTTGCTCTGTAGACCAGGCTGGCCTCAAACTCAAGAGATCTGTCAGTCT